TCGCCGAAGAGCTCATCGATGCCAAGGGCTTGCTTGAGAGTGTCCGCAACGAAGCCGCGAATCTCAAGGCTGAGAAGAAATTGTGGAAGGACATTCAGGATCGTCTCAACCAAGACAACGAGAACCTCATGCAGGAGAAGACGCGACTCAACAACCTCTTGGCCAGCCAGCAGTCGATGCAAAACGAGCGCGACATTTCCGAGTCCGAATACAGACGGAAGGCGCAGTCGAAGATTGATACACTCGAACAAGAGCTCAACAGCACGAAGCGAAAGTTGTCGGATGAGATGGAGGAAGGGAAGAAGCTTCAGCTCAGGAAGGAGTTCGACGCACGCGAGTCACAGAAACGTATCGACGAACTCTCCACCAGCCTTAGCCAAATCCGTGAAGAGCACGTAGCCGTCAAAACCAGCCGTGACCATCTTCAAGCCCGTGTCGACGAGCTTACCATCGAGCTTCGCAATGCTGAAGAACGGGCTGGCCGCCTTGCGCCCAGGCCTACGCCTCGCCCCGGGACCATGGCACCTCCCACTCAGACCGATCAAGAGAATGAGGCCGAGGTGCGCGAGCTCATCAACGAGGTGTCGGATCTCAAAAGGGAGCTCGATATCGCCAAGTCTCAACTCGAAAACGCCAAAGAACAGACTGAGCAATACAAGCAGCTCAGCGAGCAGAATGAAGAGGCCTTGTCCGAATTCACAGCCTCTCAGGAACAATACAGAGAGGAAATGGAAGCTGCTCTCACGGGCAAGGACGCCAAGATCAAGGAGCTTGAGCAGCGCGTCGAGGACTTGTCAACCGAGCTGGCAAACTCTAACAAGGAGTTGTCCCATCTGCGCGACTCCCAGGCTGAGGTTGCCCGCAAGTACGAGGACGAGAAGACCATCTTGGATGAAGAAATAAAGCGGTTGAAGGAAGAGACGGAGCGCCACGCTGAGGCTGCCAAGTTCCACCAACAGGATCTACGTGCTCAATCTGAGATCACCGCCAAGGCTCAACAGGATTACGAGCACGAGCTCGTGAAGCACGCTGAAGCTGCCAAGCTGGTCCAGCAGTTGCGCACCGAATACAACGAGCTCAAAAGTCAATCTGCAACTCTCAGAGCCGAAGCCGAGTCTGCCAAGGTTGCTCTGTCTCAGAGTGAGAGCTCTTGGGAGGAGAGAAGACAGCGACTGGAGCAAGAGATGTCGGAAATCAAGACTCGTCGTGACGACGTCAATGCCCAAAACAAGCTGTTGCACGAGCAACTGGAAAGCATCACGAAGCAGTTCTCTGCGCTCAAGGAGGGTCGCAACACTTCGGCTGAGGATGCCGGCGGCAGTTCAGAAAGCGGCAACGATAGCGCAGCCGATGGTCTTCGCGAACTCAACAACTACCTCCGACGCGAGAAGGAGATTCTGGAGGTCCAGTACGACCTCAAGGTGCAGGAATCCAAGCGCCTGCAACAACAACTGGAGTACTCTCAATCCCAGCTTGACGAGGCCCGTCTCAAGCTGGATCAGGAACGTCGTTCACAAGCTGAGAGCGGTCAAGCATCCATCGCCCACAAGGATCTGATGGACAAGCTCAACGAACTCAATCTTTACCGTGAGAGCAGCGCAACCCTTCGGAACGAGCTTGCTCAGGCGCGTGCTCAGATCTCCGAGAAGAACGCCAAGATCGAGGAGCTGGAAGGCAAGGTTCAGCCTCTTGAGGCCAAGATTGAGGAACTACAGACCCAGAAGGGTTTCCTGGAGGATGAAATCAAGCAAGTTCAAGAGGACCGTGACAGATGGCAGAAGCGGACCGAGGGCATTCTTACGAAATACGGTCGTGTCGATCCTGCTGAGATGGAACAGCTTAAGCAGACCATCACTGATCTGCAGGCTGAACGCGACGCCCTCAAGGAGTCCGAGGCCCCTCTGCGAGCCGAGATTGAGGAAGCTAAGCAATTACTGGAGACCGAGCGAGCCAACTGGCAGAACACCCGTCAGCGCATGACGGACCAGTTCAAGGAACGGTCGCGAAAGCTTACCGGCGAGAAGAACGACGCCAACACAGCGCGAAATGAGGCCGTTGCCGAGAAGGATGCCGTGGTCGCCGAAAAGGATCAACTCCAACAGCAACTCAACAATGCGAACACGGAACTGGAGTCAACACGGCAGAGACTGCAGACGTCGACGCAGCAACGCACCGAGTTTGAGCAACAGATCCAGAGCTTCCAGCAACAAGTCCAGAAGCTCCAGCAGGATGCACAGGCAGCACAGGCTGGCACCCAAGGCGCCCAGCCCCCAGCGGATGCGTCGACATCAGTCTCCACGCAAATCGTCGCCCAGCTGGAGCAGCAACTCACCGAGATTCGAAGCCAGCTGGATGCTGTTTCTGCACAGAAGGCAACCGCTGAGCAAGAGCTCGAAAACCTCCGAACGCAGTTACAGACGGTCACCTCCGAGAGAGACCAGGCTGTGCAAGCCGCGCAACAGGCCGCTCAGTCACAGTCGCAAGGCGCAACCGAACTCACGGAAACCAACAACGCAGCAGCAACTGCAAACGGCACGAGTGGTCTGTCCGACGACGAGCGCAAGGCCTTGGAGGAGAAGATTGCTGCTGCTGAGGCCAAGGCTGCAGAGTACGAACGCAAGGCGAACGAGCTCGAGGAGAATATCACACAGACAATCAAGGAACGGTCGGACAAGATGAGGAACGCCTTGAACGAGAAACTCCGCCAGTCTCGCGAGAAGCTAGACGAGGAATACAGGACCAAGCTGGAGCAAGAAAAGATTATCTGGAAGGCCGAGCACCAAGGTGCCGCTTCTAGCCAACCTGCGGACGAGCAGCCAGCTGTACCCGCGACGCCTATCAAGCAGCAGGACCCTGAAGTGGCATCGACAACGCCAATGACTGGCACACCCGCTGGTTCAACAGATCTCTCTCATCTTCCCGACGCCGAGATCCGCAAGTTCCTTTCCACGAATCCCACAGTGCGCAGCATCATGTCCTCGAATCTTAGAAAGAAGCTGGAAGAGCAAACTGCCAAGGTTAAGAACGAGACAGAGACCAGCTTGAAGGCCGAGTTCGAGCAAAGAATCGCGAGCGCTCGAGAGGAGGGCCAGATGCTGGCTCAAAAGAAGTCAGCGCTGCAGATCAACATGAAGGACAACCAAATCAAGAGCGCCAATGCCAAGATCGAAGTTGTGTCTACTGCTGCAGTCAAAACGCCTCAGCGACCGGTGGGAGAGGTGTGGGAGGAGGCCAAGGTTGCCAAACCAGCTCCCGCCGCGCCGCAGCCAAGCCCGGCGAAGCCCGCCGGCAACGCACAGCCCGCCGCCGCACCCCGTCCATCCATATCAGCCCCTTCTGCCCCGCCAGCTCAAGCTGGTGCGGTTTCGAATGGTAAGTCTTACCCCGGAGAGACGGGAATCTCCATTGGATCTAACTATTCTCAAGTTGCCCCCAACACATCAACCAACCAAGCCCCGCCGCTAGCCACTGCTCCTAGCGGCATTCCTCCACCGGGCAGTACCATTCCGCAGAAGCGACAGATCCCCGCTCCCGGAGAGAACAAGCCAACAGCCAATGCAGCCGGGGCGAATCCGTTCACGACTGGCGCAGCTAACGGTACACAACCTCAGCCCAACCCCTTTGCTCAAGGAGCCCAAGCGCAACAGCAGCCGCAACAACAAAATCCATTTGCCTCGAGCACCCAAGGTGCGCATGCTCGTCAGACTGGCCAGACCGGCCAGCAAGGACAGCAAGGACAGCAAGGTCAAGCGCAACAGCAACCGGCGACTCAAGGTCAACCAGCCCCACGGAGCGGCATTCCCCTGCCTGGGCGCGGTGGCGCTGCTGGACGCGGCCGTGGTGGCGCGTTTGCTGCCGGTAACAGGGTGTCAAGCGGTGGCGCAGAGAGAGGTGGCATGGCGGGACGCGGTGGACGCGGCGGCAGAGGAGGCCATGGTGCCGGGCCTTTGAACCCCGGCGCCAACGACTTCCAGCCCGGGAACAAGAGGCCAAGAGGCGATTCCGAGGCCGGCGGAGGCGCGGGTGCGAAGAGAGCGAGGGGAGGTGGACACTAAATGCCGGTTGGGGGCTGAACCGATGGAGACGGCGTGGTAATAGCGGTGAAGGTTGCTTTTTACTCAAAGTCTGTACTGATATGACTGGGGGGTGATGACGTTCAAACGGAAGGGCGAAAATAGGGCAGACCCAGAAAAGGCCTGCAGAGTGTGCATAGCCAAGATATACTCTACAAAATGAATTTTCTTATGTCGTCAAAGTTTATTGTCACTTTCTCTTTCGACTAGAGTCGACCCGTGCTATCGTTTGATGCCATCTGGTACCTGACTCGTTGATGGAACATGCTTCTCCTTTACCCTCTAATCCAAATTTTACACTAGTACTAACATGTCTGAGACTGCGATGGCGCGGCATGCCTTCGCAACTCTACTTGGTTCGGCTGCTGCTCCCCAGCCGTTTCGATCTTCAAGCTGCTCACTTACTTCGATGAACAGCATACATGATATGGACTCGAAGCTGGGTATCCCATCAGTTGGGTTACCTATGTCGATCATGAGCAGCTCAGCCCGTGCGGTCGGAGTTGTTTCCAGCGGCCGTCAGACATAGTAAGCGTCCTGGTTCGTGAAACACAGCCAAAAGCTAGGACGAGTTCTTTGCGGATAGCCCCTCCTGTTCTCGCGAGCTTGCTGTGTAGGGCGGATGACCCGACTCGCGCAACAAGGCCCCCGACGGCGCGCGCCGGTCTTCGGCATCATCCCGCCCCCACCTACGGCCCCTCCCGTCCACGGGCCTGCAGGCCCCTCTCCGATGCCCGCCGCCCCCGCCGTGGAGCAAAGACCACACAAAGCCCTACGTAGAGCAGTAGCGATGACCCTCTCAAAAAAGACACACCGCGTCGCAGAAGAGCGAAAAGTGGACGTGTTCGACCGCTCCGTTTGCGGTCCTTGAACTGGATCTGGTTTCCGGGTCCCTACACACCAAGCCATTGGATTTCCATCCGCCCGGCTAGCTCAATCGGTAGAGCGTGAGACTCTTAATCTCAAGGTTGTGGGTTCGACCCGTAAGTTCAAACATCGCACCAGCATCTTGATCATCGTTACTAACAGACACTAGCCACGTCGGGCTCAATTCCCGTCAGCGATTGACGCATTTCATTTTTTGCATTTCATTCTCTATTTCCTCCAACTTTGCTTCTAATGGGGTCAAGTTACTGCTTCACAGGGCGAAGACAACCTAACCTGTCTAGCTGTCTTTCTTTGGCACGGTAGTCGGCTGTTCACCCGGTTACTTGCTCCATTCTGCTCGGCTGGTGCCTTACTCTTCGCCAGTCTCTTGGGTCTTGGGTCTTGGGTCTTGGGCAGGAGGGCGGTAGTTGTCAGCTCACAGGTGCACTTCAGGTACCCTTGTCCTACATCCAACCGCAGTATTCTGGTCGGGCACGAATCGGCTGACGGATATGCTTCCAGTTGGTTTCTCTCCGATGATCTACCACTCATGGTTCATAATCAAGTGTGCCAGCATGATCTTCATCTCGTTGCTGGCGAAGAACCGTCCGGGGCACACGTGCGTCTGGGTCTGAAGGCTAGGTTAGGTACTCGGGGCTCGTGGAGATGAATTGCCAGCGGTTCTCCTGGCCCGGTGCCTTGCGCATACGGAGGAACCTATGGCCGTCGAACTTTTCTGGTATACCCATTGGCTGAGGTCAATCACTCACCCCCAGGCATAGAATGAGGAACGAAGGCGACCAAGTAATAATAATCATCCGAACTATCCGTCAAATTCAGTTCTGGATAATGATAGTATTAGACAAAAGCAAACGCCTGGATTCGCAGATACCAAAAGAATATCTTGAGAGGGACGAGACTCGAACTCGCGCGGGTTGCCCCACCAGGAAACAGATGTTAAGCTGACCTTAACCTGGCGCCATAACCAACTCGGCCACCCTCCCAGACGATGGTGGATGAGAACCATGTGATGTGGATGCCAGACCATCGCAGCAAAATCTCTTGATGTAGCCCAAATGATGAGAAACCCGCGATGGTATTCTTGGAAGTGTGGGTGCAATGGGGAGGAAAAACATGCTGTCCAATGTAGATTCAGAGTAGGGGCAATTTGGCTTAAATAGAGGATCTTGGTTTGGTTACTTGTCGTCTTTGCGTTTAATGCGGTGGGGTTTGGGCTGAAGCTGAGGCTTGAAGTGATTGAGGTCGGTCCAGACTGTCTGCCCCGTAAAGAAAAATTCGCACGATGGTGGAAACTTGCTTGATATGCTTTGATTCTAAAAACGGGGACTTCGGCGGCGCACGAAAGTTTGAGGATGTGGATGAAGTTTGTGTTTGTGATTAACACTCTGAGGTGGAAGCAGTCGCATTATTGGATACAGAAAGCGATACAACGTTCTGCTTCAGGAAGCTTTATGGTCATAAAGCACCTTGAAGACAAAGGGTTATAGCTTATAAACTGAGCATTGTAAAATGAGTATAGTCACACTCACCTGGTACCAATAGACCAGTTTAATGAGCCACATTGACTAAGATATTAAGATTTTGGGGCCGTGTCTCGGAACCATTGCAATCCAACTGCTATACTAAGCAGCTCTTTCGAGCAGACCACCCCAATAGAAGATCTCAGCATCAGGCTTAAATATTATTTAAATCATGAAGGGCTTTAATCACCTTAGAAGTGCGATCCGGTGATAACACAAACACCACAGCCCCTAAATCAAATACAGGATCCTCATTTTAACGCTACTCAGAGGATCTGATCAGCCCATACCATACATGCAGCCTTGAACAAAAGCAAAGTGAGGCAAAGGGCTCCTAGACTAATTTCACTTCTGGTGAGCTTTATTATGAAGCAGGCACACCTACCATCCCGCCTAGGTCCTCGCCCAGCCTCTTGTTGCCAACCTCGACCTCGCTAGCATCCATCAAAACATAAACCATCCTGGCCCAAGAGTCCGTTATGTTAAGCCATTGGTGCATCGTCCCTCGTTGTATCGCCACATCCCCGGGCTTAAGAGTTCGTCGCTCCCCACAGTCGAGGTCGCACGCTAGCTCACCAACGAGAACGATGCCAAAGTCTAGGCTGGAGGTGCGGTGCATTGGCGAAACGCCATTAGGCGCCATGTCGACGTACCGTAGGACAGTGCCGTTCTTTCGGACGAGAGAGGACTTCTGGCGGTTGGCGTCCAATGTTTTAAAATCCATGAGATCCTTGTCATTGGCTAAAGACACCGGCAACCCTTCTGAGCTATATCCAAACCCGAAAGCGCCATGCTCGCCCTTATGGTTCTTCACGCCCCAGAGTTCAACTGTTTCTGGGAGGCTTGTCGAGTATATAGCGTGGCCATCTTCATTATGGGTTGTAATAAAGCGCTGCGGGTCAGGTAAATCCGAAAAGGATGGAAAACCCATAGTTTGGTTGATAATACACAAGGTGGCAAATGTTGTGCGTGATCAGATATGTTCAGAACGCTTCTGCGACAGGAGGGAGGTGCCCAACACATGACTGTTTCTAGCAAGAGTTGAGGGACTATTTAAGAGAAAGTAATTGTTCTAAATGCGAGCGGGTTAAGGGGTCTCACTTTCCTGATGATGATGATGGAAAGAAATTCAATGACGAAGCTCAACTTGTGCTTAATGCCGACAATACTGAAACCCGAAGAGATGTTCGGGCCGAGCTGGCAATACCATCGGGCCAAATGTTCGGAGCGGCACTTGTACATTCAATCTACCGTTTATCCGGGACTGTTCCCTGTTCTCTTCTCCGCGTCATAGTTAAGTAGCCTAGACCTCACCAAGATGAAGGAAAAGGTTAACACCTAATGTCCAAAGTCGCCAATTCAAGTACCGTAAGAAGAACAAACAGAAGCGACAAGAATCACTACCCAACATTGATACATTTACCGTCAATTCCTCGATGGCAGAACCGCTTTCCTACCCGTTCCCTGTTCCTCGGGAATCCCCTTTTCCAGTAACAAACATTCCATTTGGGATCTTTAGTACAGAGACAAAAGTATGGTTATTAATCCACTACTGTAACCGTTAAGGGAAAGACCTTTGTGAGAAACTGATCCTGATTGAACTATTTCCAGAAGGATGCTCGGCCAGGGGTGGCTATAGGTGACTACGTCCTAGGCCTGCGTGGGCTGGTGAATGCTGGCTACCTACCTGAGACGAAGTCCTCAGTAGGAGCCCTCAGAACCGCATTAGCAGCAGTAGGTGAACAATCAAAGTCTTTAGGCCGAGATTGCTAATATGAGCATAGTTGACATTGAATGCATTTGCCGCTCTTCCAAGGGAGCTAAGAACGCAGTTTCGTAAAGACATTCAAGCTATGATCCGAAATGAACACTCGCTTCTTTGGCATGATCGGAAATCACTGTCTGCATTCGCCGTACAACGGAATGACGTGACGCTGCACCTTCCTATGTCTATAGGCGGCTTCACTGACTTCATATGTGCATATGAGCATGTGCACACGGTGAGAATATTTTCCTAGTGCAACCTAAGATGTCGATATCAATGTGCAGGGCTAAGGTTCCCTGTAGATGGGGGCCTTTCCAGGCCATGACGAAGTTCCCTCCAACTCCTACCATATTCCATTGGCCTACAATGGCCGCGCTTCATCCGTCGTTATCAGCGGTGTGCCAATCATCAGGCCGTGGGGATATATCCCCACCCCCGACGGTCCCAAATTCCAGCCCACACAGAAGATGGACTTTGAGGTTGAGATGGGGATCTTTATTGCCAAACCTCTTGATATTGGAGAGGCTGTACCTGCTTCTCAAGCGCGCGACCATATCTTCGGGATGGTGCTACTGAACGACTGGAGCGCACGAGATATAAAATTTTACGAGATGGTGCCCCTTGGCCCCTTCAACGGCAAAGCATGCGGGACGAGTATATCTCCGTGGATTGTTACTCTGGACGCTCTCGAAGAAGCTGGTGCAGTGATTGATGTCGAAGCTGGAAAGTTGCCGGGTGGGAAGTGGGCCAAAGACTCCTTCCTGGCGTATTCTCGCGATGTCTCCGTTCAGGTGACAACGCATATATCCAGGATGGCGGCTCAGAAACCATCATTTCCGCAACAGTGTAACAGAATGCCGATGCTAACTTGTATCTTACATAAGGGCGCCATTCCAAATCATTGTTTGCACAAAGCAAGCTTAAACACCTTCACTGGTCTCCTTTACAGATGGTTGCCCATCAGAGCTCCGCTGGCTGTGGTTTGAATAGCGGGGACCTCTTGTGCACAGGCACAATGTCTTCGACCGAGCAACAAGCAAGTGAGGACGGCGTCCTGGCTGGCACTGGACGATCCGGGTGTCTCCAAGAGGCGACGAAAAACGCCAAGCACCCGCTCCCTCTGGAGAATGGTCAGAAATTGATCTGGATAGAAGACGGTGACGAAGTCGTTATGGAAGCTTGAGCAGGTAGTGATGACTCCAAGATTGAATTTGGCGAGTTATCAACAAAGATGCTCCTAGCTAAAAAAACATATTTAGTAAGGGAACAAGAGATTTTGCGGAGAATGATTTCTTATACCAGCTAATCTTGGCTTCTTCTAGTACGTGCTGAGTCTCAGATAAAATTATGGCCTTGTAACATAGCAAGCCAATCGTGAGATCCGGAGTCGCCATCATCACTATGGTCAGTTAAGTCTGCTACGAAGTCTGCCAAGGCTTGATCTATGTAATTCGAGCCCAACAAATAGTTTGCGTCAAAGTTGCTGCCGTCTAGTGTTGGATCTGCGGGACAGCCGGAAGCAATTCCCAACGAAAGAGCACTGTGTACGGGAGCTAGTCCGGCATTAGCAGTTCCGTCGACTGCGGGGCTTGATTCTTCGGCGATGGCCACCCTTTCCAGTGTTTGGTCAGGGGAAGCAGCGGATGAAAACTGATAATGTTCTCCGCTTTCTCGATGAGAAGAGAAATTGACATATTGGGCCGTGATAAGCGTATTTTCCTGGGCCGGGGGGCTATTTGCCCTTGAAAGTAATTGGGGTATAACTGAGTTGGACTGAGACATGGAACCATCTCTCACGAGGCCCTGATTCGAAGAAGGCGAACGCATGAGCAGT